AATTTAGAGGGTTAATATGTTGTGGGGTTGTTAACCAATGTCATAAAACAACATGTGTACTACTGTTTCATGAGAAACTACTTGTTCTGTAAGCCTTCACCTGAAGTACAATAAAATTAAAAAATTTAAAAAAAAACGAAGACTGTAATAAATGTTACTGAATTGCACATGCAGAAATAGTTCAACTGGTGTAAGTTTTCTAGTGTATATTTCATGCCTCCCAAAAACTAATAAATTATTTTAAGAGAATTGTGTGACATTAAATAAGAGAAGGAATGGACATTATGTAACATTATATAAGGGGTAAAGAGCTTGGGGCTGGGCTGGCCCATGTTTGTGATTGGTAATATGGACTGACTGAATTCTAGTCATAGCTGTTTCATATCTTAATGCTACAGACAGGGGCAAGGGATTGAGGTGCTCTGAGCATAGCTTTAGCTTTCCCATCTGTATATGGAGGACACAATATAATGCAAACTGTCTCCTGGCTCTGTTCCTGTTCCCCTTGCAAACCTGGGGCTGACTGAGTGTTAGAGTAGGTCTCCAGCTACTGATGAAAGGATAGAGAAGATTGATTTGGAATTTTTTTTTACTGAAATATTTTTTATTGTGTTTCTGTGTACTTTAGATGAAATTTTACAGTGAGAATTAGTTTCTCATTCTAAAAATTTATATACAAGTTGTTTTGTGACATTTGTTTCAATCCCTGCAATGTATCAGCACTCTCGCCCTTTCCAACCCAGGTTTCTCCCGTTCATTCATCCAGTTTTCTTGTCCCTTCCTGTCTTATCATCTTTGATTTTGTTCAAATGTTGCTCATTTGGTCTAGACTAAACTAAGAAACATGTTCCGCACGTGTGTTATTGATTGTTTTACTGGACTGTCTAATCTTTGGCTGAAAGGTGGAATTCAAGAATGGCTTTGGTTTTGAGTTAGCAGGATATCAGGGTCATAGTCTCAGCAGTTCCTCCATTCTCTGTCAAACCAGTAAGTCTGGTCTTCTTTTTGTGGATTTGAATTTTGTTCTACATTTTCCTCCCGCTCTATTGTGGTCCATATCAGAGAAATCAGAGGTGGTAGCCAGGCATCATCTAGTTCTTCTAGGCTCTGGCTGGTAAAGGCAGTGGTTCATGTAGTCCTTTAGTCCTTTGGACTAATATTTTTCTTTTCTCTTCTTCATTCTCCTTTGCTCCGTAGGGAATGAGACCAATACATGTATCTTAACTGGCCATTCCCAAGCTTTTCAGACCCCAGATGCTAATCACAACTGTAGGATGTGGAACATTTTATTTACAGACTATATTATGCCAATTGACTTAGATGTCCCCTGAGACCAAGGTCCCCAGCCCTCAGCCCCAGCAACTCAGTTCCTCAATGTGTTTGGATGTGTCTATGAAGCTTCTATGATTTTGCCTTGGTCAGATTGTCCTGACTTCCCCTATATTGTGTGTTGTGTTTCCTTTCGCCAAAGTTAACACTTATCTACTGTCTAGTTAGTGATTTCCCTTCCCCTGCCTCATAACTATCAAAGATATTTTTCCTGCGTGTAAAAGTTTTTGTGAGTTTTTATGATAGAGTTCTCATACAATATTTGTCACCTTTAATTGACTTTTTTCACCTAGCATAATATCCTCCAGATTAATCCACGTTGTGAGATGTTTCATGGATTCATCATTGTTCTTTATCATTGCGTAGTATTCCATTGTATGTATGTACCATAATTTGTTTATCAGTTCATCCGTTGTTGGGCAGTTAGGTTATTTCCATTTTTGCTATTGTGAGTAATGCTGCAGTGAGCATGAATATGCCCGTATCTATTTATGTGATGGTGCTTATTTCTCTAGGATATATTCCTAGGAGTGGAATTGCTGTATTGTATGGTATTTCTATTTATTGCTTTTTAAGGAGGCAACATATCGTTTTCTATAGTGATTGTACCATTTTACATTCTTACCAGCAGTGCATAAGAGTTCCAATCTCCCCGAAACTTCTCCAACATTTGTTATTTTCTTTTTTCTTTTCTTTTTTTTTTGCTTAGTGCCAGTAATGTCAGGGTGAGACGGTATCTCATTGTGGTTTTGATTTGCATTTCTCTAATGGCTAGTGATCGCAAGCATTTCCTCGTGTATCTGTTAGCTGCCTGAATGTCTTATTTAGTGAAGTATCTGTTCATATCCTTTGCCCATTTTTTAATTGGATTATATACGCTTTTGTTATTGAGATGTTGTAGTTTCCCATAGATTTTAGAGATGAGACCCTTGTTGGATATGTCATAGCCAATTTTTTACCCCCAGTCTGTAGGTTCTCTTTTCACTCTTTAGGTGAAGTCTTTCGATGAGCATAAGTGTTTAATTTTCGGGGGTTCCCAGTTATCTAGATCATCGTCTCGTGTTCGTGCATTTTTACATACGGTTTGTACTGAATTTATGTCATGCATTAGGACCCCTAGCATTTTCCCTATTTTTCTATTCATTATGTTTAACGTTTAGGTTTTATACGTAGGTCTTTGATCCATTATGAGTTATCTTTTGTTTATGGTATGAGGTATGGGTCTTGTTTCATTTTTTTACAGATTGACATCCAGCTTTATCAGCACCATTTGTTAAAAAAAAAAACAAACTATTTTTTCCTCATTTAACGGACTTTTGGCCTTTGCCAAATATCAGCTGACCATATGTAGATGGATTTACATCTTGATTCTCAATTCTGTTCCATTGGTCTATGTGTCTGTCCTTGTACCAGTACCCGGTTGTTTTTACTATCATGGCTGTATAGTAGGTTTCGAGATCAGGTAGTGTGAGGCTTCCTACTTTGTTCTTTTTCTTCAAAAATGTTTTGCTTATCCAGGGTCTCTTTCCTTTCCATATAAAGTTGGCAATGAGTGTTTCCATCTCGTTAAAGAATAGTGTTGGTGTTTGGATCTGGGTTGCCTTATATCTGTACAGAGTTTTGGATAGAATTGACATTTTCACAATTTTGAATCTTCCTATCCATGGGCATGTTATACATTCTGTTGATGTAGATTTCTTTTGGTTTCTTGCAGTAGTGCTTTTAGTTTTCCTTGTATAGGATTTTTAGGTCCCTGTTAGAGTTATTAGTAAGTATTTTATCTTTTTAGGGGCTATTATATATAGTATTCATTTCTTGATTTATTTTCTGAATTCTTTTTGTTGATGTATAGGAATCCAACTGATTTTTAAATGTTGATTTTGTATCCTGCTACTCTGCTGAATCTTTCTATTCATTCTGGTCATTTTCTTCTGGAATCTTTGTGGTTCTCTATATACGTTATCATATCATCTGCAAATAGAGATAGTGTTACATCTTCCTTTCCAATTTCGATGACCTTTATTTCCTTTTCACGGAAGCACAAGAAGAAATGTTATCAGTTTTCTCCCAAACTCCACCAGCTGCACCTCACACTGAACATCTGCAAACACAGAGACATCTTGGTTAGGAAAATCATTACACATAGTCATTGCTTCACTCATACTCACAAACTCAGTATCTCTTGCTTTCCATTAAATAACTTTTCAAAATAGCATCAAGGAAAATCCAGCTCAGAACAGACTCCCTGATGACTCATCTGTGTTCAGTCTTTTTTTTTTATTATTTTTGTAATAAAATGCAGTTTACATTTCAAGTTAGTCTCCCATAAAGAATTTTTTTTTTTTACATACATTGTTATGAGACCCCAACCGCTCACCTCATTCTGGGACAGCACACTCCTCCCCTCCGACCCTGATTCCCAATGAACATTCAACCAGCTCCTCACTCTCTCTGCCTTCCCATCTCACCTCTGGACAGAAGCCGCCCCTTTCATCTCTTGTATTTACTTGACTAAGAGGCACATTCTTCACAAGTATCACTTTATGTCCCACAGTACAGTCCAATCCCTGTCTGGAGAGTTGGCCACTGAAATTGTTTTAGTTTTGGGGTGATAGAGAATCCAGGGGCCATCCTTTCCGGGGGGCTTCCATTCTCAGTCAGACCATTAAGTCTGGTCTTCTTACTAGAATTTGAGTTCTGCATCCCATCATTCTACTGTTCCATCAGGGACCCTCTGTTGCGTTCCCTGTGAGGACGTTCATTGGTAGTAACCAGACACCATCTAGTTCATCTGGTCTCAGGATGATGAAGTCTCTGGTTTAGGTGGCCCATCGTGTCTCCTGGGCTAATATTTGCCTTGTGTCTTTGGTGTTCTTCGTTCTCCTTTACTCCAAGTGGTTGGGAAGAATTGATACATCTTAGATGGCCGCTTGCAAGCTTTTAAGACCCCAGACACCACTCACCAAAGTAGGATGCAGAACATTTTCTTAATAAGCTTTGTTATGACAATTGAAATAGATGTCCCCTGAAAGCATGGTCCCCAGACCCCGCATCCCTGCTACTCTGTCTCTCAAAGTATTTAATTGTATTGAGGAAACCTCTTAGCTTTGTTTTAGTCCAGTTGTGCTGGCTTCCCCTGTAGTGTGTACTGTCCTTCCCTTCACCTAAGATGATTCTTATATACTATCTACTTAGTGAATAAAACTCACCCTCCCTCCCCACCCCCATAACCATCAAAGAATGTTTTCTTCTGTGTTTAAACGTTTTCTTGAGTTCTTATAATAGTGGTCTTATACAGTATTTGTCCTTCTGCGACTGACTAAATTCAATCAGCAAAGTAATTTCAAGCTTCCACCATGTTATAGGACGTTTCACAGCTTCATCATTGTTCTTTATCGTTGCATAATATTCCAGTGTGTGGATGCACCATAGTTTGTTTATCCATTCGTCCACTGATGGGCACTTAGGTTGCTTCCATCTTTTGGCTATTGTGAACGGTTCTGCGATGAACATGGGTGTGCGTTTATCTATTCGTGTGACAGCTCTTGTTTCTAGGATATATTCCAAGGAGCGGGATAGCAGGATAGTATGGTACTTCTATTTCTAGCTTTTTGAGGAAGCGCAAAATCGATTTCCAAAGTGGTTGTAACATTTTACATTCCCACCAACAGTGTATAAGTGTTCCAGTCTCTCCACAGCCTCTCCAGCATTTGCTAGTTTGTGTTTTCTGGAGTAATGCTAGCCTTGTTGGGGTGAGATGGCATCTCATTGTAGTTTTGATCTGCATTTCTCTAATGGCTAAAGATCGTGAGCATTTCTTCATGTGTCTGTTAGCTTTCCGAATATCTTCTTTGGTGATGTGCTTGTTCATATCATTTGCCCATTTTTTAATTGGGTTATTTGTCTTTTTGCTGTTGAGGTCTTGAAGTATCTTGTGGCTTTTAGAGATTAAACCCTGACCGGATTTGCTGTAGCCAAATTTTTTTCCCCAGTCTGTAGGTTGTCTTTTGACTCTTTTGGTGAAGACTTCTAATGAGCCAAAGTGTTTGATTTTTAGGAGCTCCCATTTATCTAGCCTCTCTTCTGGTGCTTGTGCATTGTTAATTATGGTTTGTATTGTGTTTATGCCATGTATTAGGGCCCCTAGCATTGTCCCTATTTTTTGTTCGATGATCTTTATCATTTTAGATTTGATATTTAAGTCTTTGATCCATTTTGAGTTAGTTTTTGTACATGGTGTGAGATATGGGTCTTGTTTCAGTTTTTTTGCATATAGATATCCAGTTATGCCAGCACCATTTGTTAAAGAGACTGTCTTTTCCCCTATTAATGGACATTGGGCCTTTTTCAAATATTAGCTGCTCATAGGTGGATAAGTTTGTAACCTGGATACTCAACTCTGTTCCTTTGGTCTATGTATCTGTTGTTGTACCAGTACCAGGCTGTTTTGACTACCGTGGCAGTATAATAGGTCCTAAAATCATGTAGTGTAAAGCCTCCCACTTTGTTCTTCTTCTTGAGTAATGCTTTATTTATTCGGGGCCTCTTCCCTTTCCATATGAAGTTGATGATTTGTTTTTCCATCTCATTAAAAAATGCTGTTGGAATTTGGAGAGGGATTGCATTGTATCTGTAGATTGCTTTTGGTAGAGTTGACATTTTCACTATGTTGAGTCTACCTATCCATGAGCAAAGTATATTTTTCCAGTTATGCAGGTCTCTTTTAGTTTCTTGCAGTAGTGTCTTGTAGTTTTATCTGTATAGATCTTTTACATTTCTCCTTAGATTTATTCTTAAGTATTTTATCTTCTTGGGGACTACAGTAAATAGTATTGATTTGGTGATTTCCTCTTCAAGGTTCTCTTTATTGGTGTAAAGGAATCCAATTGATTTCTGTATGTTTAGCTTGTATCCTGAAACTTTGCTGAAATCTTCTATTAGTTCCCATAGTTTTCTTGTGGATTCTTTGGGGTTTTCTGTGTATAAGATCATATCATCTGCAAATAGAGACATTTTGACTTCTTCTCTACCTATTTGGATGCCCTTTATTTCTTTTTCTAGCCTAACTGCTCTGACTAGGACCTCTAGCACAATGTTGAATAATAGTGGTGATAAAAGAGATCCTTGTCTGGTTCCTGTTCTCAAGGGGAATGTCTTCAAAGTCTCCCGATTCAGGATGATACTGGTTGTTGGTTTTGTATAAATGTCCTTAATTATATTGAGGAATTTCCCTTCTATTCCTTTTTTTTTTAGAGTGTTTATCATGAATGAGTGTTGGACTTTGTCAAATGCCTTTCTGCATCGATTGATAAGATCATGTGGTTCTTGTCTTTTGTTTTATTTATGTGATGGATTGCATTGATTGTTTTTCTAATGTTGAATCATCCCTGCATACCTGGTATTAATCCCACTCGGTCATGGTGAATTATGTTTTTGATAGGTTGCTGAATTCTATTGGCTAAAATTTTGTTGAGGATTTTTGCCTCCATGTTCATGAGGGATATCTGTCTGTAATTTTCTTTTTTTGTGGTGTCTTTACCTGATTTTGCTATCAGGGTTATACTGGCTTCATAGAATGAGTTTGGGATTATTCCTTCCTTTTCTATGCTCTGAAATTCCTTTAGTAAAAGTGGTGTTATCTCTTCTCTGAAAGTTTGGTAGAATTCTCCAGTGAAGCCTCTCTTCTCTGAAAGTTTGGTAGAATTCTCCAGTGAAGCCATCCAGACCAGGGCTTTTTTTTTGTTGGCAGTTTTTTAATAACCTTTTCAATCTCTTCTTTTTGTTATGGGTTTATTTAGTTGTTCTACATCTGTTTATGATAATCTAGGTAGGTAGTGAGTTTCAGGATATTTGTCCATTTACTCTAGGTTCTCAAATTTGTCAGAGTACAATTTTTCTTAGTAGTCTGTTATGATTCTTTTAATTTCAGTTGGGTCTGTTGTGATATCACCCATCTCATTTCTTATACAGGTTATCTGTTTCCTCTCCAGTTTTTCTTTTGTCAGTTTGGCCAATGGTTTATCAATTTTGTTGATCTTTTCAAAGAATCAGCTTTTGGACTTGTTAACTCTTTCTGTTGTTATTTTATTCTCTATTTTATTTAATTATGCTCTGATTCTTATTATTTCCTTCCTTCTGGCACCTGTGGGCTTCTTTTGCTGCTCTTTTTCTACTTGTTCCAGTTGTAGGGTTAATGCTTTGATTATGATCCTTTCTTCTTTTTGGATGTGTGCTTTTATTTCTATAAACTGACCTCTGAGCACTGCTTTTGTTATGTCCCAAAGGTTCTCGTAGGATGTGTTTTCATTCTCGTTTGATTCTATGAATTCCTTTATTCCATCCTTAATTTCTTCTATATCCTAGTAGTTTTTGAGCAAGCTATTGTTCAGTTTCCACGTGTTTGAATTTTTTCCTTCCTTTTTGTGTTGTTGATTTCCACTTTTATGGCTTTATGGTCAAAAAAGAACCTTTGTAATATTTCTATGTTTTGGATTTTGTTAAGGCTTGCTTTATGGCTTAATATGTGGTCTATTCTGGAGAATGTTCCATATGTGTAGAAAAGAAAGTATACTTGGCTGCTGTTGGGTGCAGTATTTAGTATATGTCTACGAGATCAAGTTGGTTTATTGTAGAATTTAGCTCTTCTTTGTCTTTGTTGAGCTTCTTTCTGGATGTTCTGTCCTTCACTGAAAGTGGCGTGTTGAAGTCTCCTACTACTATTGTGCAGGTATCTTTCTCTCTCTTTAAAGCTGTTAGAGTTTGCTTATGTATTTTGGAGCCATCTAGTTCTTCTAGGCTCTGGCTGGTAAAGGCAGTGGTTCTTGTAGTCCTTTAGTCCTTTGGACTAATATTTTTCTTTTCTCTTCTTCATTCTCCTTTGCTCCGTAGGGAATGAGACCAATACATGTATCTTAACTGGCCATTCCCAAGCTTTTCAGACCCCAGATGCTAATCACAGCTGTAGGATGTGGAACATTTTATTTACAGACTATATTATGCCAATTGACTTAGATGTCCCCTTAGACCAAGGTCCTCAGCCCTCAGCCCCAGCAACTCAGTTCCTTAAGGTGTTTGGATGTGTCTATGAAGCTTCTATGATTTTGCCTCGGTCAAGTTGTCCTGACTTCCCCTGTATTGCGTGTTGTGTTTCCTTTCGCCAAAGTTAACACTTATCTACTGTCTAGTTAGTGATTTCCCTTCCCCTGCCTCATAACTATCAAAGATATTTTT